ATTATCTCAAATACAATGAAGACTGTCAAATATTACCCTTTTCCCAGTACCGTTACATCAGTTCATGCAACGGTTACAATTTTTGTTATCAATGTATGTTATCTATATTCGCCAGCATTTAGATCAGGGGTACTTTCATGCAATTTCAACATTAATAAATGGCTTGGATACGAAAACACATACTTTTTCTTACCTCTGGTTTGCAGCTTAAGTAGTAGTAAGATAGTCAATAAACTGAATGAAACTTAATCGTAACTGCATCGTAAGTCTCTTGGTTTAGTTATTAAATAAAATAATATCACATAGTCTAAGCATAACCTAGTAGAAATAATTACTGCGTTCCACTTTCACTCAAGTTATTTAGTTCCGAATGTGACACTTAAAATTAATCACATGTTTTAACCCTGGGAGGTGGACCCCTAACTAATTTTGGTTTCGATGGTAACAAGTTTTTTTTCTAGAGCATCGTCGCTGTATCTCGGAATCACAGGATAGTTGGTTGGTTCGACAATTGGTGTGGTATGATTGTCATTTGAACTCGCGACTGAGATATAAATCACACGATCATAACTAGAATTACAAGCATCCGACATGGACATTGGGATTTATACCAGACACTAGGTGCCACTACTTAGTTAATCGATATAGATATGTAAAATATAATAAAACATCGCTACTGGTTTGGGAGTCAATGGTAATCTACAATAAAAGTCTTGGATCTTTATATTTAGATTTTTGGATATCTTAAAACACCCGTTTCTCAAACCTTTACAAATGTGGGCCCCGGTTACCTCACTCACCAGACGAAAGGTGAAAGTTTAATACTTCCACTTCACGTTGGTATTCTGTGGTACTTCCCCAGACAAGCCTGCCCATTCGCAGAAGCTGTTGTCTGCCCCTACCACAAACATATGAGTTTTCTGATATGTTCAGTCAGTAAACATAATTTAACAAAAACCGAAAATTTAAGAGTCATTCGTAATTAAATAAAAGTTAGTGGAATCAGGGCAGGCTTACTAAAAGTAAGGCTATGGGCAGCAATATTCGAATCCTATTTAATTAAAGGGTTGCAGTTCCTTTGAGCATAATCAATGCTGTGGTGCACATGACGGTAGTTTATCGTTTGTTTGTTTCATTAATCGTTACGTAATGGGATCTGTAACAGGTTAGTAACACATCAAACTGTCATATACTTGCAAATATCATTTTGCATTCCTTTGTGACTTAACGTCTACTTTACGTTTACTTTTTATTATTTGTATACAAATAATACAAAAAAAATAAGGAAAAATTTCACTCACTGACTAACACGTAGAGGTAATATAACAGTGGAAAACGGGAACACATTGACCATAAAGGGAATTAAATGGGTAATTTAAATTAATTTAAATGATACAATTTAATTTGCCCCGGGAAGTGCATTTTTGTTAAAACTTTAACTATATATAACTAAAAAAGTTTAGCACGGTCTGTTGTGATTCCGTTATTTATATTAAGTAGTTTGCTTGGTTTTTCTTGTCTACTATTCTTTACAGAAATTTAAAAGAGTATTTAACGATTGAACAATATACTGAAGCATTGTTTTCTACGTATTTTTCATACGGAAACCATTTTACGGATTACAACGGGTAACGGATCAATTCGATTTGGTAGCGTCATAATTTAGGACGCGGTGAGAGCAAACAGCCTCTGTGGAGCAATAAAATGGATCAATAGCCCGAATCTGCGAGTAATACGCCATTTTGCTTCGATATACTTCTATTAGGATACTGATAGCACTGACTCAATTTTTATCTTTTGCATATTATTTGCTTTGCATAGAAATGCTTAACTCCTATCATGCATAACATAGGGTGCATAATACAATATAATATCTTCAGAAATTTTTTTAAGTCAAATCTTACAGTTAGTTTTGAGGTACTTTTTATTGATATGGTCGTTATCACGATTTCAATTTCTTATTAAAAAAAACATTCATATTCAGTCCATTACAGATGCTCGTTAATGATTTGTGGATGTGAGTGCAACACTCACAGCTTTCGAGGAGTCGAAAAAGAAAGTTAAGCTGAAATAAATTTTATCCGTAAATAATAGGACCAAATTGATTTTCTTATACATGTTTGATACATTTAAATTGATTTAATTATATTTAGTACAGATAGAACGAATTTCAATTTGCCTGTTAGAGTGTTTTGAATTGTTCTATAACATTTTCTACAATTAAAATTTGAATATCGTGTGATGCTGTTTCACTCATAAAGTGAAAAATTCCACTGAACTAACATGCAAAATTAACATAAAGCTTACGAGTATTTTGTAAACGTATGCTTGTATAAACACACCCTGCAGATATTGAAGTAAATTTGTTTGCATTTTAATAGTCAATTAAAAACTTAGCTCTACATTTATAATAAGCACCAAAAAGCAAGGCAACATTCATGTGCGTTTTTTTAATTCAATTAAAGTTTAAGCATGAGTTAACTTCAAAGTCATATCGCGTTTTTGTGGCTTTTCATTTCATAGCTTAAACTCATGCACAGTTATTAAAAGTATACCTTTTTTAAACATTACTATAATATTAAATAAACGCATTTTTTCAATTTGTGAAAAATCCTCGTGAAATTTGAATACATATTATATTATGATTCGGGGAATCAGTTTTTTATAATTTGCTGTAAATTCTTGAAGTTCTTTAATGTCACTATGGTGTTCAAGTTATTGATGGAATATAAATAAAACCGTATGAATGAAAATTTCAACGAATATCGAATAGAAAGAAAAGGACCTTTTTTGTGAAATCATCATAATATTCTTTCAATACAAGTTTATTTTAATATTCTTTAGTGGATTTTGTCAATGGGTGAAGTAGTCTCCACAGATCTCTCGTCTTAGGAACTTATTATTCACCTTTTTTATCGTTTACCTTGCGTCGTCTTTCAGCTATTTTTGACGTCTAACTAGCTGCCACGACAGTGATTTAAAAAAATATTTTTTAGGAAATACAAGATAATTGGGAAACCAAAAGTTATAGAAAATTTTTTTTTCGTGACAATGAATTCACAAAGAAAAGTAATAAATCCGGTGATTCGATCCTGTTTGCAAGATAGCTGAGCTTTATGGTTGTTTACTTCACAGCGTGCCGAAAGTTTTTACTACTAGATTCGACTAGACCATCGCTACAGATTATAATACTTAAAACACAAGAGTCTTCGAAGGTAAGGTCAAATTATTTTCAAAAAGAAAAGTAGCGAAAATATGATACAAAATATCATACAAAATGGTTACGAAAATAAATACTATTTTATTAGAATGTTTATGTGAAGTAGGACCTTTAATTTAAAATCATTGCTATGAAATAATTCTTAAAATAACTTTTGAGTTTAAAGGGAAAGGCGTTCGTCAGATTTTCTCGTGAACAGTTTTTCATTCCTATGCTTATTCACATACTGACCTTAATAATCCAGTCTCTTCTATTGCTATTGTTTACTTTGACCTATATGTGCCATTGCAACAAGGGACTACAATAGCCGAATATAATTTTCACAAATTGTAACAGTTTGTCTATTATATACGAATATACATATTATTTATTATAAAAAGGTATCTTTACTAAATCATTGTATTTTATGAAATATAACAATTTACTTTCAAATGTAAACATTAGAAAATAGGTAACAAATGACACATGCAGGTATGTGTATTGACGTAATGAAATATTAAACTATATGTTAATAGTAACGCTAATATTCTTTCTAGTTTCTTTTCAATCTTTCACTTATATATGCCAAGTATAAGCTTATATGAATTTTGAAGAAAAAAAAAACGATTTGTTAATAAAAATGAAACTATGAAATTCTAATCAATAAAAAGATTTATTTAATCATTGATTTTACAAAATTTGGTATAGACACTAATCGAACAATTTGGCACAATTTGAGCTACGGTTTACAAATATTTGTTTAATTGTTCAAGATGGCCAAGTTTTAATATTCTCTCCATTTCACCACTTTCACACCTTCAACTATTAAAATAATTAAGTAAATATTATTTGTTTCTTAAAAATATAAGTACATAGACAATTGTTTTATATTTGCAAGAAATCTTTCCGTTAAACTAAATAAGTATATTTACATTAAAATATATCATTGTGGATATATTCAATCAAATACACAACGTAGGTTCATAACGGTTAGAATTAACACTAAAAATGATGAACAATATAGTTCAATAGAATATTTTATAATATTATTTACAGCCTTACTTATTGAGCCTCAACTTGGCACGTTTTAAACATTTTTCGATAATAACATTCTCCTATTAATGGTACTCTCAAGTAGAACACAGTTAATAAGCATTTATCCATTTAAAAACTCATCTACTAGAAAACAGTATAACATTGCCCACAATGCTTCGTAAACTATGGATATATACAATAGCTTAGTTATGCTACGGAAAAGGTTTCTCCCGCTCATTTGCGAAACCTCCGCAGTATGAAGTGAATCTAATTTAGTACGCGTGACTGTCTTTGGGCCTACACATCGCTGGGTGGCGAGGAGGCTGGTGCCGGGCGCTAGTGCAGTTGGCTTTTCGTGCTAAAGCCGTAGTGCAGGTAAGGAGAGCCGGCCCCGTCTCTCGAGCCGGCAGCACCGCCGCCACTGCCGCCGCTGCTGGGGCACTTTAAGGCGGAACGCAGCTCCGACGCCATTTCCGAACAAAGGGACGCCTGAGCGCACAGAGTAAAATGGGTAGATTTTGACAAGGGGAACGTAAAATAGCACTCAGAAAAAGTTTACCTCCTCCTTCTGGGGTTCCCATGACAGCGAGGGCGGAGAAAAATATTTTTTTTATTATAATTATATAACAATATTTAATTTAATATTATTAATAAAATTATTTTATGACTTAGAAAATCTAATAAAAATAAAACAAGAACATATGCGATCTAGCGGCTACTAAATATAATTCAAAGTATTTTACCCATGTAACGTAACGTACATTCAAAAATAAACCTAGAACAAAATAAAAAAAGCATTTATATCGCTGAGAAAGCCATTGAAACACATAATTTTCTATTAAAGATAAAAAATAATTGGATCGAGAGGGCTAAACAATTTTTGCAAAACAATTTGAACAAATCAAATCCGACGAGTGTTAACAAATCAAATTACATACCCTCTCGTCCACGGCAACCTTTCTCGATTTCCAGACGAACTCGCAGACTGCTATAACGCACGCCACTCCCATGCCGCCCATTAGCACGACGAACACGCCGCCCACGTTTGCGAGACCCAATTCGTTTGCAGTCGACGACGATTTTGAGGTTTCATCCTGATTAATCCAATCACGTTTGTCCATTATACGTCTTAATGAGATTAACTTCGAGGCCACAATCACGGAATTAATATATGCGTTCATAATTCTATGTCCACAGGTTATATTTGTTCAATGTGGTGAATACATGCATATATTTCGTGTTATTATCTAACACCAACAATATAATATTATTTGGAGGTTTTAATAATAGCAATTGTACTCATCAAATAAATTAGAAATGTATCATCATTTGCTTTTCAATAGGAAGTTGTGAAAGAGGAGGTTTGAATAATATAAATTTTTTGTCATATTTCATTAATTGTGGATTTTATATCTTGGACGTATTTAAATAATAAATTGATGCAAACTTTTAAATCTTTCTATTGTGAAGTAGAATGATTACGAAAGATTTGATAGACAGTCTTGACTGACAACTATAACTATATTCTTTTGTGATTGTGTTGTACAAAAGAAATTGTAAAATAAAAGGACCGAGTCTGCAATTTTTAATCATTTGGTTTGAAAATTAATTTTTTCGGTTATGGATTTTTAACGGTTATATATTTTTTTATTATTGCCTTTTGCCAATAATAATATTTATTCGTTATTTTTATTTCCTTATTATAATATTTCGTTTATAAAATATTGTATTAACGAAATTCCTTGAAACAATTTAAAGGGAGGAATCATTTTCGTAGAGATTATTCATTGAACACGTTAACTTACCCTGCAAGAACCACCGCCGCGTTTCTCTTTCCACCATTTCGTTTTCAAAATATGCAACTTGCCCTCTTCCTGCAGCTTTAAAACGGCCCCACTGATAGCAGTACGATATGGTGAATCTAAAAATAATTGGTTTTTTTTATATGAGAAGGTGGCAAATGGGTTGGCGGTTCACCAGATGCTAAGTGATAACCGTCGACCGACGGACCTGCTCATTCGTGCAACAGCTAATTTATCATTGTGTGTATCCTTAATGATGATTGTACAAAGCTATTATATTACTCGGTTATTGACGAACACGAAGTTCATAAATCAACAAGAATCAAAAACTTATGATAAAGGTAAAGAAAATGAATAAAACAGTATCTGTTAATGTTTTGTATGTACAACATTGAATAAAATAATTGTTACAATTTTAAGGAAATGTATACCTATTTCAATTTAACGTTGACATTCCTTTGCCATTAGACCGAAATAACCTACAAATGTGTTTAGAGTTCAACAACAATTTGTACAAAGTCTTTTGACTGGGTGAAAATAAAATCATGTAATAATTTCTACTTACTGGGAGGCATTGCGATACCGTATCCTTTAGAATCCAGCATTCCACCAACTTGCGTAAGATCGCAATTTCTTTCTACGACATATTCAATGGTTGTTGACTCCATTAAGTAAGCGTAGGAGCCCTTGCCTCGCATGACTCGCTCCTCCCCCTCTTTGTTGCTACTTGTAAATACAGACGGCCTTGCCGACTCCATAAACGACCACATTCTTTGATATGTAGAGAAATTTGAATCCTAAATTGCATTACAATTATTATTATTATATGGATATAACAAAACAAACTTAAACCGAGATAAAGATTTTTAAAGAAATTTAATGTTGATAAATAAGAGAATAAATTACCCTGAAGAACGCAGCAGTTGAGCCTCCCTTCAATGCTCCATATTTAATTTTGGTCTGTTTAGCGAGGTCTTCAGCGCTTTCAATAGGTGAATCCATTCTTTCAACAGTAAGGAAGGCCGCCAAGTTTGCAGTGTAAGAGGATATCATGATTAATGTGAAGAACCACCACATTCCAGCCACCATTCGAGTCGAAACAGCCCTGTTTGAATGTTTATGAATTTGCTTTTCAACCAGTTTGTATATCAACTTTTTATACAACAAATATTTTCATTTAGAAGATAATGTGACAATTTTACTTGGATTAAACTAGATATTACAGAAAGATTAACAGAACGTAGTTATTGATTCTAGATGCAGTTAAATATCCAAATTAATTTTAAGTTATGATTTTCTTTGCACAGTAATGAAACAAAAATATACGAAAAAATAGCGACAGTAAAAACTCGGAACATATCTAGGAATTATTATTTAAACACTAATCAATTATAGCTAAGTGTTAAAGACTTGATGCAGCAAGCTGTCGATACTACACAGGACTCGCGATGCGAAAACATGATGTTCGAATTGGAGTTGAATTAGCAGCTCCACACATTTATAATGACGAATTTAGTTAAATATCAATGCCATTTGATACATAATAGTCTAATTTGGCTTCAAAAGAGACCGCCAATGCTTGAAGTTCACAAAGGGTTGCGGTCGCTTTGAAACTAATTAGTGAAGCAAATTCTCTCTTTATGCACGAAACAACTTCCGTGAAATACTCTGAATAGTGAACAATTATTATCTAGTCGGTGCTAATTTATGTTGTGTTTGCTACGACCACTTCTGATGCTTAGTCTATTTTGATCAGACGTAAACTGTCAAATATTGGCAACCGTGGAAGAAGCTATCGGCGTGAGCCAGGATTGACTTACTTCGGTGCGATATCCGAACCTTGCTGCATCAAGGATCCAATAGTGAACCATAGCGAGTTCAACAGAGTGAATTGGTTCTCCAGCACCGGTGGCTCGTCAAGACAGTTCCTCGGGCTGTCCCACTCGTAGGGGCTGAACCTGTGCCCAAACACAGCTCAACATTTACAACAGCCTGTCGAATCACAGCTCAACATTTACAGCACAGTCTGCGTGAAAACATTCGCTGCCCACGTTTGCAACAGACATTAGTTTATCAATCGTTTTCCCGTGTTTTTTTTTAAATATCTGATTGTTAAAATTAATAACAGTATTAGAAACGTGTGTTTCATGTGCATGAGATGCGAACGATTGAAGTTTCCCACCCATTTCATTCATGTCGAATTCGCCGCGGTCACTATTAAGGCGTGATATGTATATCAAAGGACACTTGAAAATTACAACAAGTGCTCTTCAAATATAACGTCGAATTTTAGTTTTTATCTTACTTGGGCAAAAAATCACAACTCTGCTGCATGAGTGATCCGATGGCAAACCACAAACAATTTGCCAGAGAGAATATATTTTCCAATTTTTCGCCATCTGGTGAATGTGTTGGGTGCCATTCGTAAGGTGTGAACCTATTGGATTAACTTATGAATACAAGAAACTGTTGAATCGATAAAAACTATATTTCAAATTTTATAAATCTCTAAAGATAATATTGAGAATATTTAGTGACGGTAAAAATATAACTAGGAAATAAGAAATATCAGATCATAGACTATTTTAATTTTCCATAGATGCACGATTTATTATTTCTATTAATTTCCTCTTTTAATGCTTAGGTAATCTATGTTTTAAAACATTTATTCATTAAAGTAACATTATTTTTAATACGCATAAAACGAAAAATTTGTAAAATTCAAACAAAAAATTCATGAATCATGATCATGGTTTAATACAGGGTGGCTTTTCTAAGTGTATCCATTTTTTTTATTAAATTCTAGACATAAACAATGTTATATAAAAAACGATAAATATTTAAAATTTATGACGATTTATTTGCACTTATCTCAAAAAGTTGGTGATTTATACGCAACTCATTTATTTTACGCGCGATCATTCATAACTAACATGCACACAAGTTCGCGCTCAGTAAAATTTAGGTATTTATGAATGACTACCGCATTGTCAACACTTTCTGTTTTTAAGGGAATAGAATGGCATTTTTTTTTAAAAAAAAAAGCTTGTTTTTATTTCAATAAACGATTATACTACCGAGTCTGAACCTCCTGTGTAAATTTGCGCACTTCTCAAAAAATCTCCCTGTATAGTAAACACAAAATCAGCTACTTTACCTGGCTAGAATAAACAACAGTACAGAAACTCCCAAATAAGCTGTTGCCATGTAAATCCAAACATCCAGTGAAAGAGGCGACAGAAATGAGAACAGGTTTGGGGGTTGTTTTATTGGTTTTCGGTACAAGACCGAAATGCCGAGGTTCATGAAAGGCATCGTAAAATCGACGACTTGCTCTCTGTTGAAGAATAAAATATCAATAAATAGCCTTATCGCTTCCAATATAATATAAGTTTCCACAATAAGGTTTTTCAGATATTATTTATACAATTTTTGGAATTAATTATTATTTAAAAAAAAATATGATTGTACAATACCTGTCGTAAGTGATAGTAAGATCAGCTATAGCAACATCAGCTCTTTGTTCTAACAACTCTCTGATCATTCCATCCCATTCTTTAGTCTCCCGGTTGTATGAACCGTATCGGCCGTCGGGAGCAAGTTTGAAAGTGTAATTAAAGCCTAGTATTTTTGATATCTCGTGAATCAGATCAATAGCATATCCTTCAAATTGTGCGTTCCCTATGAGTTTCTCGCTTGCTTCCTTTCTCATACAATATGGCGCGCTCTAATGAAGAACACAATTACGTTATTTTAATCACAAAATTCAAAAGGACATTTTTGATAATAAAAATGTGCATTATAATTATTTATGATACATAATTTTGAAAAAAAAAAAAATAATCGACTTCAAACAGGAAACTAAAAGCATTGTCAACACCTATAGCGTTTGAGGTTTGGCCTCGATTTCTCTGGGATGCCATCATCATATCTGGTTTTCATTATCATGTATCGTATAGGGTGGTACCCTTGGGATATGTCCTTTTCAACAAAAAAAAAAATCATCAAAATCGGTTCTTAATCAACGAAGTTATCCCCGAACACACATAAAAGAAAATAAAAATATATATGGTTGAGTTGAGAAACCTCCTCCTTTTTTGAAGTCGGTTAAAAAGTAAAGTAAAGTAATAGCCTATATATTTTCCACTGCTGGGCAATACAGTGGGTATTAATTAGTACGTACTCCTTTACACGACTCCAATGCGGATTGTCGGACATCACATATTTTTTTTTATTATTGTTTCAAAAATATGCAGCTATCTTCACGATTTCCCTCACCGCTGAGAACGTGATAAGTCAGCACTTAAAATTGAAATGAACAATATCAGGGAATTGAACTCAGGTTGCCCGAGTATACTAAAATAAAAGCGAGCGCCCTGAGCTGACGCCTATCACGGCTCAAGTATGATATAAGTACTTATAATTTGATAAAAATGAAGAGATCAATAGTTACCAAAATAGTTGTTACAATAAGTGTCTTATTTTGAAGTATTTCGACTATTTGCTTCTGATTGTCACCGTAAGATCTCGTATAATTGACTCCCTCCGAGGAATTCCACGATCCCGCCTTTTGTAGTCCATCCCTTGTCAATTCGATTATGTCAAGAGTGAAATCGCTTCTAAACCCTTGGTGGTCAAATTTGATTACACCCGTTAGCCCCTTCATTTCAACCTAGTAATGCAAATATTTGTTTTAAAAATATTTTATGGAAAATAACATGAAGTTAATAAAATAAAATAAAGCAGTTGAAATAAATGTAGATATTAACTAGATCTTAATGAATCATAAATTAATGATCAATTGTTGGTTAATAATAATATGTTATAGAGTAGACAAAAAGTAACTTACTATCTTCATATAATTAATAAGACTGTACCCATGAGGCCAAGTGTCTTCAGCGTCACACGACAATGGTTTTACATCAATTTGTTGTGAAGTATCAAGATCGTGTAAGGCTTTCGCAAATAAATGTACTGCATCGTACATCAGTGCTGTTTCCGTCTAGTAAGAAATAATACTGTTTATAATAATTCAGAAAATTAGTATCGTAAAGGAATTGCATAAATTAGAACTCACCTTAATGAAGGTCATGTTCTCCTGAAAAAAGTGAATATGAATATGATTTTCTTAACATTAGAATTAATTTGCAAAAGCGTTAGCGGCTACCTTAGCAGAAGTGTGACCAAGTTGTAATTTACGACCTTTCCTGGCTTCGTCGTACACCCAATCTCGAACCACTCTTTGTACATCCGATCTTTCTGGATCCAGTAACCTTAAAGCTGTTATATTTGTACCACCATATTTGAATTCTTCTAAATCAACGCTGTGTAAATCCTATTAAAAAGTCCTTTTAATGCATCCTGTTTTTGAATAAAGCTATTTTTTTTTAATTTAAAAGATTGCAATATCTTACCAAAGAAGTTATTAAATAACTGTGATAATCTGACATCATGCCAATCTGCTGGGCTTGTTGAAGAACATCCCTTATTCTTTCCGTTGCGCAATCGAGAACAATGTGTGATTCGGCAGAGTTTTTAATTTGTTTTAAAAGAGGTCTACAAAAATCAACACTGACATCATCAATCGGTTCAAATGTATGTGATTATTTACGAACAAAACATTACCTATAGTCATGTGAATCTGGTAATTGTCTCACGGCCACGGGAAGTTCCGACGGCCCGTGGGCTTTGAGAAGTTCTTGAAGGCGTACTAAGCCGTCACTGTTTTCATATACAATTGTGAATGACTTCCAACCCCATGCTCTAACCAGATCGACGTAAGCCTAGAAGTATGAATTTAGTGAATACAAATAGTGGATAAAAATAAGCTATTTTTATTTTACATGATGATTTCTACCTTTGGATTACAATTTCTATTTTCAATGCGATATAATATGTACTGAGGTCAAAACTACAGTAATTGATTTTACGTACATCATATGTGATTCCACACACCATTCCTTTATCAACGCTTGGTACGTATATATTTACCAACATTATAATGAGCACCAAACATTCTTCCACCCTTACTCATTCTACACTAATATACAATCGATACATAGTATCAAAATACGTTTGATATATAATATATGTATCGAATGATTATATATAAAGTTATGGTCGACAATAAACTATTGAAGAGACCTTGTTAAATGAAATTGCGAAATGATAGTTATAGTTTTTTTCTGTCACAATAAGTTGGTAAAATGATATAATTTCTATAAAGTACGGTCTTCAAATCAATTATGACTAATATTATGATATCAGGCAAAAAGCGGTAACGATTATATCGCAAATTTTGATCAGTTAAAATAATGTCTCATACTTAGCTAATATTATAAAACAAATACGAAAAATGCAATCTTTATAAAATTTTATCCCCAACAAAATAAAAAAAAACAATAAAAAAAATTTTTACGAGCACAAGTATGAAAATCAGAATCTTCTATATTTAAAGCACTCGATCAAAAATTCATTATTTATCGTTTACTCTTACGTTGTAATAAAATGAAAGCAAAAAACAAAGGGCTCAGCAAAGGCTAGCTATTCAACATATTCGTTCAAGCAAACAAATTCGACTCGACACATTGAAAGCCGTACAACTGTGCTACTTACTCGACTGAGAGCGGCAGGATGCGGATATAGGTTGACTAGACAAGATTCCCGACGCGTGCGATAGTCCCATCTCGTCTCTAAGTGGGGTAGCTCCATAGTGTCGCATATAGATTGAACATGGGCCGCGGCGGGGGCCGACTGCGGTCCAAAAATGGCTGCCACGCCACTTCGAAGAAGATGGCACACTACGTAATAAACGTGGTGGTGTATTAAAAAGGGTAGCCTGTTCTCGATATTTTGACAAATATATTATAATTAATTATAGTACTAAACTCACCATGGTACAGTGGTCGATTATTGGCAGTTATTGGTCGGTATAATAATGATTTTTTTTTTATGTGAGAAAGTGGCAAATGAGCTGGCGTTTGACCTAATATTAAGTGATAACCACCGCCCATTGAGATTTGCAACACCTGAAGAGTTGAAGGTGCGTTGCCACTTTATAATAAAGTAGGCTCCGCACACTTCCACTTAACGCCTGATATTGTGACACTCACCCGAACATTCGTGCAACAGAGAAGACCAGAAACCCTGCCTTATTAGAAATAAAAAATACATATATTGTATCTATATCATTAATATATTTTGCCTTTGAGTAATAAACATTCCAATTTATATAAGGAGACTTACATATAGGAGATATTATACACGAAAGATGTTTTCATGAGATATGTACGTTGAAAAGAGTCTAAAAATACTTTGTCCATATTATTAAACAGATGGTTAAAATTTCTATAACTCTTGACTAAAGTTGTGAGTAGTGTATATTGAAATAATTTTAACAACAATTAAAGTATCAACCTATACATATCCCACTGCTGAGCAAAGGCCTCCTCTCTACAGTGGGTATCAGGGTCCACCACGCGGCCCCACTGCAGATTGGCGGACTTCATATTTATCTTCCAATATTTTTCTTTTTTATTATTATTTCGAAAATATGCCTCACGATGTTTTCGTTCACCGCTGAGCACGTGATAATTTGGCACTTAAAATTAACATTTAATTGGTGCCGGAACCGGGGATAGAACTCGGGCTGCTCGAGTATATTGAATTTATTACTTAACCATAATTGATACATTTTAAAATATTATACAGTTGCGATGGTAAGGTTAAACAATGCTTTATTTTCTAGCAAAAGTAACAAACCTCGCTTAGACGCATGGAAGCTATCTTGCGGGGATATAGTTTCCACTTGTGCCAACAGCTTCGCACGTGGTAAAACGGCTCTGTCCGCGTTCACCCTTTCTACCGCGTACCGGAATGCTACCTCTTGTTTGTCATCCTCAGGGTGAAATAGGCCACCTTGTATCAATGAAACGCTTATTAATATTATTACATTAACTTTTATAATAGTTTTAGCTGCAGTTATAATACGTTTCAAAGAAATATTGAAAGTTCTGAGTAGCTCAAGGAACAGGATAGGAAAGTTATAGAAATATCCAGAACAAAGAACATGAAGCGACAAATCTCCGCTCTAAAAAATAATAAGACATGTGCATCTCTATTCTGCGAAAACTAGTCTGAATTTTTAATTAATTTAATGAATTTCCACATCTTACCTATTCTTATAGTATCTGGCAACGCAGAGAGGTGTCCAAACAGTAATAATAGTAATATTAACTTGTTTCCCCTCATTCTGAAACAAAAAAACTTTGAAATAAAATTGAAGTAATTCCATTAAACTGGTTCAGAAATATGTATTTGGTAATTTTATATTTTTATGATTTTGATGCTTTTATCATTCAGATTTTGTTAATGTATGACCAGAAATTCATTCATTCGTGAAAATTGGTAAAATTACTTATTATATATTTGTTTTCACATCATCTTTTGAAATAAAATCAAATAGGTATTAATGTTAGTTTATTTGCACTTTCAGAGATAACATTAAGAATTTTTTGACTTTTTATTATGTTATTTAAATTGTATCGAAATATAATATTATGGGCCATCATTTTAATCTTAATAATTTTTCCTCGATGTCCGATATTTAATATTTATACACAACATTACATATCATTTTAACATTGCTTAAGATTTTGCAGTTATATGTTCTATTTAAGATTCCCCTGTGAATATCTTGTGTAAATTGAAATAAAATCTGGTGAAAATCACCTTGCATAAATAATAAGAAATTTTCTTAGAATCCAGCAGCGTTTGCAGTAGAAGTTAGATATTAGTAGTTATGTTAGGTAAAGTTTTAGTGACATCATAATGAATTTACTAAACAACGTTTGAAAACAGAAACAAGTAGGTATGTACTAGTTATATACGGCCTTTAAAAACATTTTACAAATATTCATTAAATTTTTTGTCGCAGCGCAATCTGTTAGTTATATTCAGTTTAATTGCTTTCAACCAAATTTAGAAATGTTTTGGATTGTACTATTTAATAGCATCCGCTTAAAATCGTGTGTAAAGATAATCAAACATAATATATCTAAAATAGGGTATATAATTCCGTTTTTATAAGCTTAAGAATAAATAAATTGGCACAATGAAACCTCGCCGCCGCACGTCAAACATTTCTCTGGTTTCACTAGCTTGTTTCAAAGCTGGACTCACCTGGCAGATTGTACACGTTTTCACGTCAATAGCGTCATTTGGAAACGTAGGAGTTGATGTGGAGTATAGCCGAGGTAAATTTTAAAAAAAAAGCACACTATCACAAACACCAATCACAGAGTAGAAATGACAGCATTCGTTGCAATTAGCGGGGCAGTGATATTGGCATCGTTAATATTGCGTATCGTTAAAAACATTTGGCACTTGGTTCCGTTGAATTTACAAAAGCGACATAGTTAATTGTAGTTAAATGAGCAAACAGTCGATTGAGATTTATTTGGGGACGCGATGTTTTGGGCCGGGCAAGTAAGCGGCCGGCGTCGTTGGCAGCGTCGGCAAGCTGACGCTTGAAGGGACGAAGCGCAGAAACCTCAGGGCGCCTGCGCGCATCCACCCACCCGCCGTGATTCCCATCCACATAGATCATTCACACAAATCTACAAGTTTCGTCTTTCCCCTTGGGACTCATTCTAGCTCCTTCGAGCTTAATGAGTGTTTAAGAGTGATTTCAAAACAGGAATAATTTATTGCGAATCTTATGATAAACTCAATTTATTTATTCAGTATATTTATTTATTTATGCCTTTTTTCTTAAGGTTAGCAATAAATGCTAACCTTAAGAAAAAAGGTATCAAAGGACGGACTTAATGCCCAAAAGCATTCTCTACTAGTCAATCCGATAAATTCGTAAAATATAAATGTTATCGTTCAATAATTTCCTTGTTATATTTTATGATTTCATTAACTTCGTGTTATTCTATCTTCTGTAGAGATATTAACTGTTGACTGCCTTCAGTGATCTCTGAATGCATGATTTACATGCAGTTTTATTAAGCTCATTACTTTCTAAGAGACGTTAAAAAAAAATTATCAAGATATAATGCAATATCTGAAAGGCCCTTAAAGTGGTTAATAAATAAATTAATACAAAAATAAATTTGTCCCAGTGGATGGCTGGCTATAACAGCGTCGCTTGCTCCCGCACGCACCCCGCAGTCCGTTGAACTTGCGAGGATTTTGTGTCGTCAACGCAAATTGTCTTTTCATTATTCACGCCGCGATTATTTCGTCCTTTGACGTACCAACAATACGAGTTTCTGTATAAGAATGAACGACACAATCCTAATTATGTGATGTACTTTATACATCATCTGAGGATTGCGGCACAAAGTAAAATAGTAATAGGTAACGTCTGCAAAAAAAAAATAAAAGAAAATATTAATTATGCTTGAATATGTATAACTAAAATGAACTATTCTTTTTCTGTAAAATAATTTTCTTACACTCGGTTTCTAAAACACTGATCAATGTAGAAATTAACTAATCAGCTATCAAACTCTTTTTAGCCATTTGATAGCTTATTAGTTAATTTCTACGATGATCAGTGTTTCAGAAACCGGACGTGACTATGGGAATTGGCATTAAAATAAGTTTCAGTCATATGAAAACAATATTTCATTAGAAGCAAATTGACCTGCACCGTTTCAACTGAAAAGGATACAAGTACTCGTTGGTCTATCGAGCGAATTGTCTATTTACTAACCTCGCTGTAATTTCTGTGCAAATTTTATTGTTACTTTTGTATTGCGTCCGAAATATTATCATATTTTTCTTATAGTACCTATGCAAATTATTCTAGGTACTATGTATTGCTGTTTCTATATATGTATATTGCTGTACATTTTAACAATCAATATCCGTTTTGGCTTTGGCTAAAAATAATAAGGTATTTATCATTGTCATTTTTTAGCTTTACATTATTTTATTGTAATTTTAGATTATAAAAATCTGTCTTTGTTATTTTACATTACCTACTATTAAAACTAATGTTAATTAAATTCAAAATTATGCCGCTAAATCATAAACATCTTCATTTTAAAAGTAATAAAAGTAAATGACCTTCTTTCAAACATTTCAAGAAAATTTTCCGATAAATATGCCGAAGAGACGTAAAGTGGACGAAACTTTCAATAGCAATACGAGTGCACTAAACTTTTGAGGTTAGTTGAGTACCAATCGTGAGCTGGCTTCTCTCCAAGAGATAAATGTCAAGTCGACCTTTAACATATCTACGGAAAACAAATCAGTTTTAATCAAAATTTTTACGATAATCAAACAAAAGAAACTTTTTTAGACGAGAAAATATTTGTATCATTAACGTACGTTTAATATTCTATGGAGTACGAATATTTTATCAAACTAAATTAATTCGATCCCCGGTGCCGGTACTAATGAAGATTTTAACTTTAAGTGCTGACTTATTACGTGCTCCGCGGTGAAGAAAAACATCGTGAGGAAACCTGCATATTTTCGAAATTATAACAAAAAAAAAATATATTTCGAACATATGTGAAGTCCGCCAATATAGAGTCCCTCTGTATAGAGGAAGCCTTTGCCCAGCAGTGGGACATGTATACGCTGTTACTTTACTTTTTTATATATATACATACTTTTCCCATGTAATATGTATACTTATATTAAATGATTTCGTAGCCGTAGCATATAAATAAATAAGCTATATAAATAAGCGATTTGTTTTTTGTTAACAATTTAACATTTATGCGAGAGGATCATAAAAGTTTGGCTGACGCTGTAAACAGTACAAAGATATAAGAACGCAAAGCCTAGTTTCTTGAAACCCATAACGAGATCGTGGCAGTATCTCAGAGCGGATGCTCGAGCAAAGTCCCGTTGTTAAGTTTCACTGCGACTTCTTACTTGCTGCCTAGCTTTGCGAAACAACAGCTTCGTTATGTGAAATAGAAAGTAGGAACAACATTTTTACTGTACATTTTTTTTTAATTCGTAAAATATTATTTAAGGCAAGAACGGTAAATTGATTCGATTTTGTTTAATCTAAAGGATACGATTATAAAGAACTTGACAGAAAATGTTAAGAATGTAAAAATGATTATTATAATATTAAAATACATTTTCTTTTTACTTTTTACCTTATCGCGTTTAATTTTCGTCCCATAGGACCCATGAATGCTAGATTCGCTGATATTACGGATAATTTTAATTTATTAATTATTAAGATCACACTTCTTCCAGCGCGTTTGGAAAAATTATAAGTAAAATTTTTACGAAACACACACAACAGCGACATGAAGAAAATTTTTGAAATTTTGAAGAACAAAGTTGATTGCTAAGCAACCAACTTCGATTAACTTCACGTTATTACGATGGCAATCAATAACAACTTTTTGATATTTAGTTTTAATATCAATTTATTTAATTAAGCCGTTTTCGCATTTAATGCATTTATCACAAACAAATGGTACTGGCTCAGGAGATAAGTTTTTAGTTATTTTTCTTTTGTTACACTAAAGAAATATTTTTTACGTGTGTACATAAATACATGCACTTTTTTTTCATAGTATGGAAATAAGAAAAACGATTTTGTGTAGAGATATTTGGCACTAGACACTTGTACATGAAGATTAGAACTAAAACTATTTCAATTGTTTCAATTGGTCAATGTTATTTACGTATTAAATATATAATCAAAAAAATCTTAGTTATCATTTTCTGAATGATAACTAAGATTTTTTTTTCAAAATAATAATTTTGCAGTATCCAGCAAATACCCTAAAAGCTACGAAACACACATTTGGACAAAAGCTTGCAATAGTCGGTCTTCTATATAAAATAATTACAAGGATTTTAAAATTTCAAGGACGTTCTTATTACCATAGTACCTCAACTGTATGAACTACCTGATTTCAAAGACAAAAAGCATTGTTGCAAGAACTTTGCAATATGCCAGAGTTTTCTGCCAATTGTTTAACGTTTAGTTGTTAGCAGTTGGCAGTTAATTGACGTCCACCCATATATTTGTTATATAATAAACTAAAACCTGTCACTGTACCCTATTTCATTATAACTAAGACCATAATATCACACCTCATATGTTGAAATTTATCAAACAGTTTAATACATGAATCGGGCTCGAGAACTAGGCAAACATACATAATTCGCTCGAATAACATTACTCTTTTTAAGCAGTCGGGTAAAAGCACAATGTCTTAAACTAATTTGATAAATGTATTAAAGTTAAGCTTTTGCCAAAAAACCGTGTAATCGTAATTTCTGGGTGGACTCTGTTCACAACGTTGAGCACTTTTTGGGTGAACAAAAATCATGGAACTCTCGTCATCGTCACCGAATGCTTTTTATTTATTTTAATTATTATTGAAGTTATACTTCTTTAGGTGCGTTATGGAAAAAATTATGAGAGTTAAATTTTAAGATGCGCGCGCATCACTGTAACACAAAAGTAACACCTAAGAAGCTGCCCCCTAAACCGCTTATTTTTTTTAGATGGCAGTATATTCCCAATCACATTTGCCTGTAACAGTTCTCAGTAAAGAATGTAGATGGCGCTTTAAAAATTTTATTATTTTTATTGTTTAAATCCTTTTCCAGTGTTTTTACATTATTTCGTTGTAATTAATTAGTTGTTAAAACTACTTTTTAATGATGCCAAAGAAGTTTAACTACCCACGAGCGTACATCAGTACACTCACCTATTTTTTGTTGGATATGAACTATTTTTAACTTAAAAATAATTATTTTAACATAATAATTGTTCTATTTATAAATAAATGTATTAATTAGTGTTAACTTACCTAGTTTTCAGTTTTATCGACAATCCCCAAAGACTACCAGCATGTTTTTTTTCTTAGGTGAGACAAGGTAAGTTGACAGTTATTTTTATATCAAGTTAAATTAAAGCTGGAACATGAAAAAGGTTTCTGTTCTGTTAATGAATGAAACGAGCGGAGAAATGACTCTTTGTATCTCTTAATTACAGGAGTTTTTCTTAATAACGTTTTGGTTGATAAAAAGTATTTTTTCTGTTGATTGTGGTTCCAATGTTTATTTAATTTCAGTTTGTCGATCTTTTCAGATTTTCAAAATTTGATTTACACATTATAACTCTAAAATCTTATACGGAGTTTCGGTGTTTTCTTTACAAATCATTATAACAAACGTTGATCTTGTTGAACGAAATTATTTTACTCTTTAAATATACATGGAATCATCAATCAGTAGTTTTTACTTTTTTACTGGTATTTTATTACTCCTACAGTGTTTGGCTTATTTATGGACAGTTTCAATATTCTGTCTATCTGTAGATTTGGTTATATATATATATATATATATATATATATATATATATCTATATATATATATATATATATATATATGTATGTATATATATACATACATATATATACACACATATATATATAACCATATATAACCATCGTTCATTCGTTCAACAAGATCAATGTTTGTTATAATGATTTGTAAAGAAAACACCGAAACTCCGTATAAGATTTTTGAGTTATAATGTGTAAATCAAATTTTGAAAATCTAAAAAGATCGACATATATATATATATATATATATATATGTGGTGTCGTGGTGGGCAAAATAAAAGATTTTTCGTGTCTCTCTGATTTATTCACTCTTTTTTAAAATATTCCTTGTAGTTCTTTTCTTCTTCCACGCCTCATGGCTTCCTGCCCTTTTATACTATCTCTCTCTCCCTCTCATACATCTATCCCCCTCTATCAAATCAGTCGTTCATGCATCTCAATCCCATTCATCTAACATTCCCTTTCGCTCAGAAACCACAGACCTACATCTCGGCCATCCTGCAGGTTTGGCTGCCTCTAGCCACACACCATGCTCTCTTCTGTCATACTCTCACATGCTTAGTATACTCTAAAACACCATCTCAAACATACCACCACTACATTATACAAAAATAAAACCAAGACATTCTCGTTCACACAAACATATCAGAATTACAATATTATAATCATAGAAGAACCTCTTTATTTCTACATAAGATAACTACCAATACAAGACAAATTTTGGTTATTATTGTAACTGTTATCTGACCACTCTTGTCTTACACCATGTATCATCTGGAGAGAGATCTGCTTAGGTTATTTGAAAAATATCAAACAAAAAAAAAAAAATAAAAATAAACATAAAAAAAAAAAAAAAAAAATATGAAGGTGGCTATTCACCTAAAGTATCCTGAAACCCAGGCCATGGTTTCATATTGTCTGCTGAACTACTTGTTTTGGTAGGTCCCTCTCTATAGCTATGGACCTTTTCTAGGTCATAACGGTCATTCCCCTTGACCTTTGTTACTACATAAGGTCCCAAAAACTTCTCCTTGAGTTTGAGACCCGAACCAAATTGGGTCCTTTTGATGACAACTCTATCCCCTTCACGATACTTAGTGCTTTCCTTTCTCTTCTTATTGTATGACTGAGCATTTTCCGCCTGAACTTTTCCTATCTGTGCCTTAGCCAGACATCTTAACTCTTCTCTTTCTTGCATGAAACAATCTATACTCTCTTGTTGCAACAAATTGTAGATTTCTATGTCTTCATTTGTTTTCATCTTTACTCCGGTCATTAACTGAAATGGTGTAGTGTTGATGCTTCTCTGAAAAGTACTATTTAAAGCTTGCTGAAGGCGGCTTACATGTCTATACCAAAGGGACTGATCAATTAACTCTATCATTTTCTTCTTAGAAAAATGGCCACGCTCATGAACTCTTCTTATTATTTCTGTTTCTATGCTTTTAGGTACAACTAATCGTCTACTCATACCTTTGTAAAGTAAGCCTCTTTCCAAATAATAATCTGCAAAAGGTCTTTCCCGCAAAATTTCCTTTATAGCCTTTAATCCCTCATCACAGTCCTGTGCTTGTTGTATTTGATCATGCAAGGTCACCACCATGCCTGCATCATAACAATTCCTACTTAAAGCATCCGTGTGTCTCATCTTGTAACGTTTTTTTTTATAGTGGTTGTCTAGATAATGATGGGAAGATTTAATAAAAGATTTATTAGCGGTTAAGAATTTGTATTTATCCCTTCAATTTAAAGTTACAATCCCTGGACTAGCTCAGATACAATATATTTTGTAATATAATAATAATAATAAGTTGGGCGCCTAGTCTGTTAGGAACAGACTGTTGTAATAATCACACTTAAGTATCTGAGGGAGTCGTGAGTACATAGGACCTACACATTACTTTGTGCGACCATAAAAGGTTAAATAATTAAATTAATTTAAGATTATGAAAGTTATGCAATTCAATTTAAAAACTAAAGTCCAATCAGGTAGTTATTTTAAATCTATGTCACCGCAGAGACATCTGCCCTGTGTGCACAGGTCAGCGTTGAGCTCAGAACCAGTAGAGAAAGTCAGGCCAAGTGTAGTGTGTACAGCCACACTGTTGGGGGTATATAGGAGACCTCCTGCCAACAAACACTACATTGTAGAACTAACAAAGGCAGGGATTTGAATCCACCTACAATTATAAGATGTGAAACACTTACCAACTGGAGGTAAAAAACAATATTTAATAGAGCAGCAGCTCAGACCAGCTTGCCAGCCACCTATGCCTTCAGCATCCACCTGTGATATTCGAAAAACCATACTTAGGAACACGAGACAATAAATTCTCAATCTACCTTCATGTGAGATTTCTAAATACATTCACAATGCAAGTCTTTTACAATTTTAGTAGGAAACCAGTGAAAATAACAAAGAATCTTACCACGAGGGATAACAAATCCAGCACTGAGTTTCCCAGACAGCAATCACAAATAATACGACCAGGAACGTGTTCTGATTCAACCTCTAGCCATGCACTGTAAAAAAGCGAATTGATAAGAAAACGAAATACGTAAACAAAACAACCACTGGCATGAACAAAACCAAGCAACTACTTACCAGTCGAAGATAATGGATCCACAAAAACTAATTTATCCAATGTCAATTCGATCCGGCGGCAATCTCAAATGACAAGTACCAACAAATGAACTTAACTTTTTGATTTGACCTTTCGAAAAGGCAAAGGTTCATATGACATGCAGCCTAGTCTTTAGAAAAACAACAATTTCGACAAAGTGATGAAATCACACGTTACAATCTGACTACCAGACCTATGTTCTATAACATAATCATACTGGTCAAGTAAAAGCACCCATCTAGCTACCTTAGGTGTCAAATCCCGTTTCCTTAAAGTCATACTAAAAGCTTGACAATCCGTGACGATTTTAAATTTAATCCCGAATAAGTAATGATGGAATTTTTTCACACCCCTGGACTACTGCTAAGGCCTCCAGCTCATAGCTACTGTACTTGCTTTCAGCATCAGTTGTTCTCTTACTCATGTAGTGAATAGGATGTAACTCTCCAGTCGGTGCCCTCTGCAGCAGTATAGCCGCATAAGCCACACTAGATGCGTCTGTGTGTAGCTCAGTCTTAAGTTGAGGATTAAACAATGATAAAACTGGGCCACTTGCCAATTTCTGCTTTAACGCATTGAATGCCTGTCTCTGTATAATATCAAAAGAAAAATTGGTATCTTTTCTCAAGAGGTCAGTGAGGGGTTTTGGCCAATAAAGCATAATTTGGAATGTACTTGCGGAAGTAAGATGTCAGTCCGATGAAGCTGTGCAATTGCTTCAATGTCCTCGGTTCCGGATATTTCATAACAGCCTCAGTCTTATCAAGTGATGGTCTCACTTTTCCATCTTCCACCATATGTCCAAGATATTCCACTCGCTGTGAAATCAGGTTTGCTTTCTTCCAATTGATCCGAATTATATTGTTGTCCAACCATTGCTTCACCTGTTGTTCAACAATCTCACGTTCCTTCAGAGATATCCGTCGTGGACGATGTGCAACAGGGATGTCATCTTTGAGTATGATCTTCAACTCCAATGGAACCTCCTTGGTTCGAACAGGTTTATACTCATCTACGCACTGCAAAACCTCTTGTCGCACTGAAGGACTGCAAGTGTCACCTATAACAACATCACAATTTGCCACACAATTTAAACCCCTGAACCAATTCTCCCCTTTGTCTAACAGATGTACAGATCGCTCTCCGAATACTACGGTGTAGTCAGACAACAATTCCTGTCCCAAAACAACATAATACGGCATTGTATTACACGGTATAATATGGAAAGTAACAGTTAAACACCTATCACCTATACGAATAGGTAGGAAACACTTTCCAAGCGATTGGATAGACCGGTTTCCTAATCCAGTTAACAACAAACGTTCACTAACACAACTAAAGCTAGTAAGATAGCCCTTGTAGATACGTTCATCTATCAAGTTTATGTCGCTTCCCGTATCAACCAACGCGTTCACTTCGAAATCGTCCAACATAATCTTCACTACAGGTTTTGAATAATTCGATTTATCGATCTTCTCAAGTTCCAGTTTGTTCTGAATTCGCGTCGACATATCTCTCCGCCAATCTTTCGGTCAACATAACATCGGCTGTCAGTGTCATGTTACTCTCATTTGGGCCATCTGTCACTGTATGTTTCGTCACGTCCGCGCTGTCAGTTTGTCGGTCAAACCGCTCAACCCGCTCCGGTGTGAAGTTGTTTGAAGCGAACATAGCTTTCGCCTGGCCGGTCGTTCTGCTATTTTGTGATTGGCCCTCCCGCGCTTGTCGCTCCTCATTGGTCGATCGCTCTCGTGTATTTTCGTACCGGCGATGACTCGACCGATCCTTCCCGAAGCTCGTGTTATGATGATTGTCTTTTCTACAATACGATGCAATATGGCCGAACTTATTACAGTTAAAACACTTTAACCCATGCATTTTATTTGGACATGCCGACGATGTATGCCCCAATTCACCACAGTTATAACACCGTGACTGTTTATGACGATTGTTCTCCGGCTTCATTTTTGATTTTACATTTTCATAAATCTTAATTTTGTCTTTTAGCTCCGAGTATGTAGTCACTCCGTGCAACATAATCTTGTTCATCTCTACGTCTTTTATGCCGTCTATAATGTACTTAATGGCCACATAGTCTGGCAACTTGCCCCTTCCCATCTCCTTCATTGTTAGCATATAATCTAAACATGTTTCGCTTGATAATTTCTGCCGACTACACATCATCTCATGCACCGTTTTTTTTTTGGTCGAGCGTGTCTGGGAACTCCTTAGACACAGCTTGCCTGAGCTCAGCCCATGTTTTAAACGGTCGCTCACTTTTTAGCCAAAGCGCTGCAGTACCTTCCAGGGATCTTCTCGCCACTATAAGTTGTTGCAACGGACTCCATTCGAAGATTTCGCTGTGATCTTCGATATCTTGGATCCAGCGTGACACCGGGTAGCAATTATCGGTGCCGGTGAACTTCGGTATGAGCTCTTCGGAGTATTGCAAATTACCTTGGCGTTGAGGTGTTACTCCCGTCATCTCAGCTTTGTCAGCAACTTCCCTCGGCATCTTAAAATTCCTCTCTTGCCACCACCCGACCACGTGTCGTGCGAAGTCGTCGTAGGAAAATTTCGTCTTCTTTACGTCTTTTCGTTCCGTCTTTCTTCGTTTCTTCGTATCCCGGACGAGCCCCCCAAATTTGTGGTGTCGTGGTGGGCAAAATAAAAGATTTTTCGTGTCTCTCTGATTTATTCACTCTTTTTTAAAATATTCCTTGTAGTTCTTTTCTTCTTCCACGCCTCATGGCTTCCTGCCCTTTTATACTATCTCTCTCTCCCTCTCATACATCTATCCCCCTCTATCAAATCAGTCGTTCATGCATCTCAATCCCATTCATCTAACATTCCCTTTCGCTCAGAAACCACAGACCTACATCTATATATATATATATATAAAGCAAATTACAAATGAATATAAAAGCAAGTACAATAGGCGGTATACAATGTAAGTAATATTCTACTTATACACACATACAAGTACTTATTTAAGACACTCGATCAATATTGTGAACTATAAATGTAAATTTACACGCTATTAAATTGAAATTCATTATTAATATTTTTGGCACCTGTAATATTACTTTTCTAACTGTTAATAATAATTTGCATAGATTCAGGGTTTCGTCACCTCAATCACTAGGTTTGTTTCAAAGCGAGAATTAATTGAATCTATTTAAATTTTTAACATCTACCAAATTGTATCCAAACGACACGGACTGTAAAAAATCTTTTAATACTTAGAGGTGTAAATCTTTTTAAATATTATCTTTATTAAAAAGTATATTATTATTATTTAAAATTGCTCCTATCTACGTAGACAACACTACACTTCTGGAAATGACCTCCGTTTAATTTTTAAGATAATAGCTTTGAGGCAGCTCGTGAAAACTAAAGTGCCTTGTGAGCGAAACGAGATGGTTAAGCCCTCGTGAAAGTAGGCTGTTGGCATTTCCAGGAACGAGCCCAGTTTTTGAAACTCAACACTAAGAAGTTTTAGACCACACACTATTTTTCAGCAAGGAAATGGCGAAGTTGATATTGCTATTTATTGTTGCAATTAAATATTTTGAACGATAGAGAACCATCACTTATGAACTAATCAACAAGCAGAATTCAGCGGGTTCCTATTATTTACTTTTTATTTGTGTATAATATCATGTATAACATGCGTTTTTACTTTGTTGGTCAATACAAATATACTAATATTAAAATAATACAGAAAATCAATTATTTTTAATATCGATTAATAATAGCTCTCCAAGGGGTTAATGTCAACCGCCACCTTTGGTTATGAATACATGCGACTACTGACAATAAAAGTTGATCACTTCGAAGAACTCAAAAAAGGTTTAGTTTATTTATTATTTTTAAATTTAAACAGCTGTTTTCATAATTTATGAAATAGGTAACGCATGTTCAAATAAATTATTTTTTGGTATAAAAAAACTGGTGAAACCACAAATGTTTATCGTATTCTCACACAATCTTTTTAGGGTAGTCTGAGCGACTCCACTCGTCGCAAGAGGCCCTCGGCCTACTTTTATATGGGCTAAACTATTTGTAACGAATGATAACGATGCATAAGCCTTTCTATGGGTATTGTACTTAAAGTTATATTAAACTAGCTTTTCGCCCGCAGCTTCACTCGCGTTAAAGCCCTTTAAAAACTATATTGTTAGAACATAGGAGGGTAGTAGCACACTGCTACGGCCTATAAACGGAGCAGCGCTCGCCGAACCAGGAGCCGAGGTTCAGGCTAGGCGCCTCGAGCGCCCGGCCCCCTCAAGTCCGTCGGATCTGTAAAGGCCCCTAAGGCCAACAGTCAGTGGCTCATCCAGCCCAAAAAAACAAAAAAAAAAAAAAAACCGTACCAGGAGACTTTCTCGTGCTCTCTGCCGTTATAGAGTGCGGAAGCTCTACCCGAATTAATAACGATTGTGTCGGTTACTTAGAATTGTAGTGAAACTTCTGTTAAGTTTGGCCTACTGGCCAATGAATTATTTAAAAAAAAATCAATCATTGTTTCTATTCCAATTAAAAAATAACCTATGTCCTTTCTCAGGCTGTAGACTATCTATGTACCAAATTCATTTAGACCGGTTCAGCAGTTTTGGCGTGAAAGCGAGACAGACAGAGTTACTTTCGCATTTATAATATTAGTATGGATAGTATTAACAAATGATAATTTACGAGAATGAGTACATGTTGTACGCCCAAAAAATCACTAATTACTTTTCCTCGTTTCGGTTCGAATTCTGTTCGGACCAAATTTCGCTTAGTCCATTACGATGGGGGAGCGAAATTACTTTGTAACAAAAAAAAACTCATATGGGTAAAAAGTTTCGTTCACCGAAGGTTTGAGTTGGGTCAAAGTCTTATTAATTAGGGAGCTGAAGTGAGAGCCCAATACTCGAGAATATTTATGATGAAACATTGAACAGTCGCTTAATTAAATTCCATTACTTAATATTACTGTAACGATATTTTGGTAAAAAAGTAATGCTAATTACGGGAAAATTTATATTATCTAGCGCTTAAAACACGAGCCTCCAGCTGTTTTACATTTAAAACATAAGTACCCTAGTATGAACCTTTTTAGTTGAAATTATACATTTCTCAAATTATACATTTCTGTTGCCGATATAACTTGTCCAGAGGGCTCTGCTGTGATGAACTGCCCGGTCATCTCAAGCCAGGGCACGGGTACGCGACCCCGGACTCCTCGAGCTACCAGTAACATATTTCCCTCCTTCCTTCCGTGGTACTGGTATCCTCTAACCCTACACCTTCCACTCTTCATTTTCTTCCCCTCCAGTCTCCCTTATACCAGCGGAAGTTTTCCGAGTGGGTATTCGCTAGTCATCAGCGAGGCATTGTGGAAGGCCGAGGTGATAAATTTTTTAGGTCTCGTGGTTATCACCAGACACTGCATCCGAACTCTCTTCCGGTCGTAGCGGTTCACCGTTCCATCGGGGAAAAGAGAACTAGGACGAGAGAGTGCACCTGTGCCTGCGCATGCGCTTGTGCACTATAATATCTCCTGCGACTCCTAGCTGACTGCTTCTCGAAAAATGGCTCCGATTCAACATAAAGTCCAGTGGCGATGGGTTGAGGTAGAGAGGTCTGGTTTGATGCCAGCCAGGCTTTGTCTGATACCTGCACACTGGCGGCTCTAGGGATGCAGTATGCATCGTGGTCGATTTCGTTCTGCATCTGGGGAACAGAAAGATTTCGGCAACACCTAGAGTGACAAAGCAGCCCTATTTAGGGAGGCACTGCTTTCCCCGCTCAACCGGGGGCTAGAAAAGGTGCCCTAAAAAAAGCTCACCCAATTTTACAGGATGGTGGTAACCACGACTGCCTCCGCATCTTTTAAAGCGTGGTCGACGTTTCAAAATGAAAAATAATAATACTTTAACACCTGTTATGACTTTTGGCGCGTGGAACGTACGGACGCTTCTTGACCGGAGAGAAAATGCCTGTCCTGAAAGAAAAACTGCCATAGTTGCTCGAGAACTCGGTCGATACAATGTGGACGTGGCTGCTATCAGCGAAACACACCTTGCCGACGAAGGAGAGCTTGTAGAAAACGGAGGTGGGTATACCTTCTTTTGGAAAGGCACAGACTCCTCTGAACCCCGGCGATCAGGGGTTGGATTCGCGGTCAAAAATAACCTTGCGAAGCGACTTGAAGAATATCCAGTCCATGTTTCGGATCGCGTTACTACGCTGCGTCTTCACCTAGACAATGACAACTATCTTAATGTCATCAGTGTCTATGCTCCAACGCTAGACAAAACTGATGATATTAAGGAAAAATTTTATGAGGAGCTAACCGATTGCCTCGATAAGATACGTTTCAGAGAGCAGATCCTTCTGCTGGGCGATTTTAATGCTAGGGTTGGTCGCAAATTTGAGGCCTGGCCTAGGGTTTTGGGTAGACATGGAGTCGGCAACATGAATAGCAATGGACAGCTGCTGTTAACCTTATGTGCACAATTTGATCTGTCAATAACTAACACTATGTTCAGACTGCCTGCCAAGCACAAGACGACGTGGATGCACCCGAGATCTAGGCACTGGCATTTGATTGACTATGCTATCGTAAGACGAAGCGATATTTCCCAAGTCATGGTCACCCGTGTCATGCGTGGTGCGCACTGTTGGACGGACCATCAGCTTGTTGTCACCAAATTGTGCCTCTGCCTTCACCGTCCTCGAAGGTTTCCCAAAACAAAGGTACCGACCTTAAATATAGATAGGTTGAAAGATTTTGAGGCAAGGAAAAAATATGCTGAAGCCTTGACTGGAGCGCTACCTTCTTCCAATAACAAGAGTCATCACATTGATGCTCAATGGAAGTCTCTGTCTTCTCATATATTAGAAACTGCGAAAGCCACCTTGGATGTAGTAGTCAGTAAGAACGAGGACTGGTTCGATGAGAACGACAGCCTTCTGCAATCTGAAATCACCGACAACTCTTACGTGGACGCTGTGGGAAAATGCAAGATAAATGCAATGCGCAGACTAAGCAAAGTGACCTGAAGCTGAGAAAGCTGTGTCGGGAAACAAAGGAGAGGTGGTGGCAGAGCAAGGCTCGTCACATACAGTGGCTAATGGATACGAACCAGGTTGGCAAGTTCTACGGGGAGGTTAAAAAGCTAATTGGCACAAACCATCATGTAAAGGTTCCACTTAAGTCCACTGATGGTAGTTACCTTCTAAAAAACAGGGAGGATGTGCTGAAGCAGTGGGCAGAACATTTTAACTCTCTGCTAAACGTGGATCGAACAGCTGATCTTTTGTATATCAGTGCAATGCCTCAGCTCCCCGAAGTTCTTTCACTGAATGAGCCTCTGTCTCGTGATGAGGTTTTTCTCGCCATTAAACAACAGCAGAATAATCGTGCGGTCGGCATTGACTCTATCCCAGGTGAACTGCTGAAGTACGGAGGCGAGAACCTACACACATCGGTATGGGCACTGTTTGTTCGCATGTAGGAAGAAGAAC